TAATGTAACTACTGTATCATTTGGTGATCGTCTTGTGTTGAATTCTGTGGAATGTAGACCTTTGGGTGAGGTTTCAATTACTTATGTTGTGCCAGAATCCTCTCCTATTGTGAATCTTGATCAGAGAAATGAGAAATTTGTGGATATTCATATTTCGGTTATGTCTAATGCTGAGCTGAATGCCCATCTGGCGTGGTCATTGAATAACTCTGTTCGTTTGCAAATGAATTGGCTGATTTTGGATGATTTTTCTTCTTCTCATTCTGAGGGGGAGGATGTGACATTTGAAGAAGAGGTTTTTCCTTCTGGTATTGTGGATCAATTTCGTCCCAATGTTGGTGGAAATAAGGGAAAAAGTAAAGGCAAAAAGAAGTAGGCTTTCGCTTCTCTTTTTACTGTTTCGACTGCGGCTTTTGGTGAGTTTTTTGGATGATGATGATCATGAAACCCCCAGCTTCCCTGTTGTTGGTTTGCCTGGTTGGCAACCTAGGTGCTTTGGCTCGTTGTTTGTAACTTATGGCTGTGTTGGCTTTCTGTAGTTGCTTACCATGGATGGTCCCTGGCTTGCTCGGAGTTGGTGTGGGGGGCTTCTCCTGAGTCTATCTTTGTCTTTCTCACCGCTGGCTATTTTGCGTATTGGCTTTCCTTTTGGGGTTTTGATGTTGGTTGGTCATTCTATGTTGTATTTCCTTTCTTTTATGGAATAAAATGTGTTCTTGTGTTAAAAAAAAAAAAAAGCTAAAATGAAGATGATAAGCCATTTTGAACACTAAGATTTCAAATCCAACAAACATGGTAGAGTTGTGTAGAATCAAATAAAGCTCTATTGATAAGAATTCATCTTGATCAACACATTAGAGGACAAATATAACTTTTCCACATTGTCTCAAATTAATAAGAGATAATATAATAAGTCCTCAATCCGTTTATACTATCCTTTGGTTTCTTTTTCTTCTAACTTGTTTAAGTTTTCTTTATTGTTTTTAGTCTTTTTCTAAGGCTTCATTTGGTATAGCTTTTGACCACTATTTTTTATTACTTTTAAGAGTTTTTTATACTAGAAAACTGCTTTAGAAAGCGGTAAGAAAACTGTTCTAAACGAAACCTGCAACAGTTCTCTTATTACTTTCTAAAACAACTTTTTAGGATAAAAATATCTTGAACTAAAAATTTTTGTACTAAAAAATCGCTTTTGGAAAACGTTAAGATTGTTGTCTCTAACGAAGCCTAAGTTAATGATCAAGTTAACGGCTTAAAGCTTCCCACTGCCTTATTTTAACCTTTTTTTTAAGTAAAAAATAGAGCATAATTTTTTTTTAATTGATATTTTTGTAAATTAAAAAAATAATTTACATTTCTTCACCTTTCAAACTTTATGATTTTGATGCCATTTTTTCTTAATATGATAAACTACAAAACTCACACATCCAAACTTTAAGGGTGCCTGACTCAGCCAGCTTTAAAACTATTCAATTATGTAGCATCCACACTATTAATTTATGCTTTATATTTCTCACAACTTAACTATCAAGTATAACTACACAACAAATTTGTATTTTCTTAAGCTCAATCATCATTTAAGTAATGATTCTCTCCCTATATTTAAAATCACAGTTCATAGCACAAAGATGACCCCACTTGAATGGCATGAAGAGGGCCTATCTTAACTAGAATCAAAGGACTCAAATAAGGATTATAAGTCGGGTGATGGTGATTGGGAGATCAAAGTCAGATAACGACAGTTCATAGCTCATAGTTCGATGATGGTGGGCAAACGATTGCATTCTAGCGATGGTGGTTAGTAGGCTATAATTAGCTGACCATGAACGAGCGCGCGATTGTATTTAGGTGACAGTGTTCGTGAGATTGTAGTTGGGAGGCGGTCGTCAAGCAACGCAGTCCAATGATAATTGTCAAGCGATGGCAATTTGATAGTGGTGGTTTGGTAGAGCTCTAGGAAATGCTGACTCTTCTCATCTTTATCTTCATTCCAAGCCTCTTTAAATATCGAAAATAGGGATTAACTTATAAAATTTTTAGTGACATTTTAATAAATCTTACAGAGCTCTAAAAGACATTTCTTTTGATGGAACAAAGCGAACATCTTAATCATAAGTAATTTTTTTAGTATTAAATGATCTTGAGCGCATTGGATTCATCACATTGAGGCCGTTGATTTGACTATAAACAAATAAGATTTGAAGATCAATACGTCGTCCAAATCAGGACTAAATTTAATATGATGAATTTTTCAACCACACTTCAAGTGCTTAATTTGGGCTCATTTGGACTCAAATGGGATCATTATTTGTCTTAAAGAGTTCATCTCATCTAGACATTCTGCTCAAATAAAAATTTGCTTAAATCAAAATTTGGATGATCCGGAGCATAATTTATAAAAAAAATTCATTTAAATATTATCTCGAGCTTAACGCCCATTTAAATAATTCTAAAATTCAAAATGCAATAAAATAAAAATAAAGTATACTACAACAAAACATATAACAAATTTCCAAAAAAAAAAAAACATATGACAAATGGAGCCAATATTTGTCATGGGAACCCACCGGCGTTCCTTCATCCAATGGCCCGGCTATGAAATTGTCTCATCTGTTGGAATTTTTTGAATCTTAACCAATCACATATCATTTTTAAATAAATAAAATAAAATAAAATAATTATTCTTCCCCTTATGTTGGACGGAGAAAATAAACAAGCTTGAACACTAATGTGTTCGGTTCATTTATGTTCACGAACAACATCATTTGAAGTTCGTGAACATGCTCGACATTAAGCTCGATACGAAGCTCAGTTCATGTTCAATTCAGAACTCATGAATAAGCTTGACAAAAACTTGATTAATATTTAATAATAAAATTGATAAATTTATATAATATAAATAGTTTAATTTATTATAACATAATGTTATAATTATTTTAATTAACAAAATTTAAAGTAATTAAATATCATAATATATGTTGTAGTTTTAATTTCCTTACCATAGCTAATTTATTATATTACATTGTTAGATCTTGATCGTTTGATAGCTCAAGAATACTAGTTAGATTTGTTCATGAACATGCTTGTTTAATAGTTTAAAAAAATTCGTTAAATATGTTCACAAACAGAGCTCGTTAAGACTTGTTTGTTAAAATCTCGATAAACACTAAACAAACCAAACATGAACACAAACAATAAAGCTTGAATCAAACACGAACCGAACTTTTGATATATAAATATAAGAAGATTTAGCTAAAATTTAGAAGGTGGCAAAAAGCAAAAAGCCAATCCTAATTACATTTGATTCCACCATTTCTGCATTCAAATATTCGAAGTTTCTCAGATTTGGAATAATGAGACAATACATCCATTTTATCACAAAATTTTCGAAGGGCACCAAACTAATTATAACCAAATAAAAATTGGGAAAATGATATATAAAATAAATTTAAAATGCAGTAACATTTCTCCAATCAAACACCATTTCTAACAAAAAAAAAAAAAATGTATATTCTTTATCAACCGAACTCCACGTGGCTTTTTCTGTCTCTGCCTTTCGCTGCTTCCGTCATTTGCATTTGTGAACAATGTGATGCCAATATTGACGTCGCACTTTTCACCTCGCAAAAAACACAACTATAAATGCCATTCAACTGGAGCTTGAGACGGACAACAAACACCGGTGCAGTTCGATTGGAGATGATCTAAATATATAACTTCAACTTTTACTGAATATATGGTCATCCTCATTTCATAATTGTTGATTATTTTTATTACTAATAATGTAATACTTTTGCCTACCAACATGCTTTTTATCTAATTTATTTATTTTTTTATTTTGAATGTCAAGACATAAATTTGATGCACATGACATTCAAATTCAAATCCTTTAAGAATAAATTTTAAAACAATTACTGGCATAGCTAGCAGCCGACATTAATAATCACCAGTATATATGGATTTATATTCATTTCAAATATGGGCCATGAACTACATTTGCATGATTTCAAAGTGGATTATCAAAAGAAATTAAGATCAGGTAACTTGAGCTTCATTTGAGACAACTTTCTTACTACTTTTTAAAATAATTTTATAATACATAAATTTTTAATTTAATAAATTTTTATACTAAAAATTTATTTTAAAAATCAATAAAAAAGCCAGCCCAAACATAATCTTAAAAGAGCTGGAAATTAAGGATAGATGCCAGATAATTTCCACTAAAAAAAAGGGAGTAATTATTTTGTGCGGACGCTGAACGCCGTCCAGAGCCGAATAAAAATGCGTCACGTTAGTCGATGCCGAGTACCAAGGCTGGGCAATGCTCGATACCGCAGCTAGATACCGCTCGGTACCAAGTGACATAGCACATTTTCATTGGGCTCCGGACTCCAGTGTCTGTACATAATAATTTTTCCAAAAAAGGGGCACAGGAACAAAGCAACCATGTAAGTACTCTTGAAGCCAAAAGCATGACCCCTAGAGATCAAATTTCATACCAATATCTATTAAGCATTCCACATCTCACACTATTGGCAAGTAGGAACTTGGTTATGATCCCTCTTTAAGAGAAATTATTACAAGCAGACACCGAACATAGAGCTACGTCCGAGCTTCAATGAAAATATGGTGCGTGGACTAATTTTTATTGTTTATTGGTGTATATTAGCTATGTATTATTATGTATTAGCTAGTACACATCAATACACAACTAATATACGCCAATACACACCAAATACACAATTGTGTATCTGGTGTGTATTACTGTGTACTGACTGATACACAGTTAATACAAAACAACATACGCCAATACATAACAACACCTAATAATACACTAGTCAACGCATCATATTTTTATTGGAGTGGAGTAGCTCTACATCTAGTGTTCGCACATAATAATTTCCTTTCGAGTCTTTCAATGAGAATTTTATCATCTCTAAATTCACGTTCAAAAACTCCATTCAAAGCATTTCGTGCTAACTAAAGCAATAAAGCGAATATGAAGAGAAATCAGAGAATTACTTACAATATGCTGTCCAAGAATCAGCTAACAATGATGAAAAGTAGAACAGGTAAATACAATGAATGAACATTTAACAGTATGCATATATGATGAATAATATAAATCAAGTTATCATATATTTCATAAATAGCAGTTCATTATTTCTCCAGCAGAAATCACCCAGCATATACAAACAAATCAGTTATCTCCTGAGTACCGGATTCCTTCTAATTGTGAAATTGACCTTCAAGCTCTTCTCATGGTTCCTTTATGTCAGCCCCCAATTCCCAACAGCTAAGTGGAGAAAAGGAACCTAAAAGTTAAAGAAGAGGTAGAATTGGGGAAGTACTTATCATAAACTAAGCTACTGAAAGAGCGTTCTGAATAACTTTTTTTTTCTTTTTTGCATGAGAAAACCTGACAGATGAGTATGAGAAGCTTCAAACCCTTTGATGGTTTGTGAATTGAGGTCTCATCAATAGGGAAAATTATTAGGTCCGATCACCTGACAAAAAGATACATCCCGATGATTCTCTCTATCCGGTGTCCGCACCTAATTATTTCCCCACAACAGACTACAAGGCCTTTGGGAGTGGCTCCGAATTGCCTGTTACTTCTCTGCAGGAAAAATATTGCAGCAATAGTGATCACCAATTACTTGCTATGAAGGTTTATTGATTCAATGGTGTCATCAAAGACTACCTCTGATTTGCATGTTGTGTCTGCGAAATCCATTGATCAAGATTCCACCTGTCGCGATAAGAATCATCGTAGGACACGACGCCCTTCATTGATGAGCTATACAACTGCAGCTTCCATTCCTCCACCAGTGGTAAACCAACCTCAGCAGCAAGCCAATTCAAATATCCGGGCTGTTTGCAAGGAAGAAGAAACTTTAATTTTGGAAGCACATATGATTTGAATAAAAGACTTGGAAAGCAGGATTGAAGACCTCATGAGCCGAAAGGAAATGAGTATAACGCTTAGGTTTCTTCATTTCTTCCATTTTTGCGTAGACTTCGTTGACAGAGGCAAGCATTTCTTCCTCTGATGGAAGTGTTAGTTTTCCTGATAAAACCTTAGCCACCCATTTGCATTGAAACTCAATCATAAGGTAAGTTATGGTCTGGCAACAAAACTCATTGATTAGAGGTTTTGTTTATAAATATTTTAAAAAAATGCAAATAAAATCAACATATTTATCCAATCAAAAGTGTCAGAAAATATAAGCAAAATGAATGAACATATCCTTCAGAATACAGTTTTAAATCTCGGCACTAAAGTATATGTTCGCTGATAGTATTTCCCAATGTTATGCTGAGGCTCACACCTCACTTCTATAACATGATAGGACAAAACAAAATTAAATTAAGAAGAGGCACGTTACATAGACAGACAAGCAAACTAGAACTTTTTTTTTTTCTTCTTCCATGCTAAGCATATTTGTACATACAAGTACACATATTCAATGAGCCTGAACTTCTAATTTGTGAATTTTTTATAGCCACTCACCGGCTGGTTTCCATTTTTTAAGTCACATATAAGATGGAATTCGAGCAATAGTAAGTCGGGATTAAATCTTTTAACCAACCACCCATTCCATTTTTGAATAATTTCTTTTTTTTTCCGTAACTTGAATCTTAAAAAAATATATAAAAAACAACAAATTCTCACAAAGAGATTTAAAAAAAAAACAAGAAAAAAAGTTAAGAAAATCATGGGCTCAATATTGTGCGTCAAGCTAGATAGAGTAAATTGCCTTAACCAATAGTTATTAATGGTTTTATCAGACCAAAGATTAATAGTGGATTGAAGTAACTTGAACTCAAAGTCTTTAATCGATCCTTTGTAATAATACACATGATCGCAGTGTATTAGTTGTTGGCCAATATGCTAACCTACTTCTCCTGAGAGCTGTTTAGAACTACCTTATAAACATGGTCAAGATGTATTCTCAATTAATTGAATTCTCAAAAAGAGCCCAAGTGATAAAATAAATCGCACAATAATTATCACATTAGTCTAACTAAGAGTTAAACTCAATCTGAGTAGAATAATTGGAGTTTAATTCCTAAAAAGTCATGCTCCTTAATCACCACTTAAATTGAATTTGTTTCTATTCTATGAGGCCACTGATCAAAACACCATAAAAGTAGGTAATGTAGAATGTCTTAGTGTCTAAGATTTCTAATATAAGTCTAACAAAAGATCCAAAAAATCATGCAACTAGCATGAACAAAATCAGAGGTCATAAACAATTATTTGACACTTAGATACAACAACATCAAGTCTTTATCACACTGTGGGGTCGGCTACATGAATCCCATTTCTCCATTGTGCCCTGTTAAGAGTCAAATTTTAATTTAAATCTAATAAAGAAATATTATTTCTAATATTTTCTAACCAAGTCATCTTAGTTCTACCTCTACCTTTCTTAATATAAGTCAAATCTAATACATCTACTCTCCTAACCATGTCATCGGAAGGCCGCCGATTTATGTGAGCAAACCATCCAAAGGCGACTCTCTATAATCTTATCTGCCACTGGAACTACTCCAACCTTTTTATGTATATGCTTGTTTCGTATCGACGTATCCTATCTCTAAGAGTAAAGCAACTCATCCACCTAAGTATCCTCATTTATGCAACACTTAACTTAATATTATATGTCTCTTTTATTATCCAACATTCTACGTCATAAAGCATTGAAAGTCTCACCATCATCTTATAGAACTTTCCCCCAAGTTTGAGGGGTACTTTCGATACTTTTATAAAATCTGAAAATATGAAGTAAATCAATTTTGAGAAAAAAGGATAATGACATCCTATAAAAAATAAGAACTAGAATTTCAAAACCAAGAAAGCCATGCAAAGAATTCTGTTATGTGCATAATAAATTATTGATAATGGATTAATCCTCGGTCGTTCGATCATGAATGCCACATTTATGCTTATGTGGGCTTCATGGAATAGTGACAGGACAAGGCAATAGTCCTTCAAAATCTACACCATAAGATCAGCTCAAAATCCATGATAACTAAATCAAATCAAACATTCATATCAAGTCTTTAATTAGGATCTAATAACCCAAATCAAATAATCTCCAACAGTAATCAGTAATCACCAAACATTAGCACTTCAAACTCTTGTTAGGCACAACAAATATAGCTCCAAAGGGCACTATTACCTCTCTAGAAGATTGAGAGAAATAAATGGAGAAGGCACAAGTTAAAATTAAATGCCTTCTTTGAGAAACTCGTCAAATAGGATTACCACATTTTAATGCTCCAACAAATATTTTTCCCTCACCCCAATGAACATTGAGGATCGTCGTTCCAAGAAGGCCCATGCGGAGATATCACATCATTGAACCAAATTTCCACCAACACAACAATAGGTGGATGATTTACATGATACCATTAGCTCAACACATTTGCCTTTAATGAACAAAATGGTTCTCTACACTAAAGTTGGAGTCAACAAGGACGCCCTTATGGTGTCTCCCATTGTTAGAAAAATGATTCATCACCACAACAACAATGGAAAAGTTACTCAACAACATTAATTCAACAGTCAACACATTATTTGGCATTCATTAAATAAAGAGAGAATTTTGAAAAAAAATACTTGCTAAGATCTTAGTTGAGGCCTAAAACAATTTAGGAGTCGATCCATAACTCCTCAAGGGATTCTCCCTTAGAGAACCTCACCCAAGGCCATACTTCTAAATTGGGGCAGTCGACAGCGAGCAACGAACATCAACAACCACAGCAGGCTCAGCTTCACACAAGCAGTGTATTTGGAATTTCTCAAATTGGATAAATACCAAATACACTAAAAATGAACTAGATAGTAAATTCCAAATGCATAAAAATTTTACTTTGCATTTGCTTCACTTCAAACTGATGAGGACATCGAAGATCAACGGCTACGATCGTGTTTACTTATCTTGATGTATTTTATTTGTTATTTGTACTTTTCCCTTTCTACCCTCACTTGAGGGTTTTGTCTTATGTGGCCCTAGGGGCAATTATGTCTTTTATTTTTCCTTCATGTAATTGGCTATTTAAACCTTCCCCTTCCTCTTGGAAAGGATGATGATTATTGATAATGAAAAGTTTATGTTCTTGTTGATCTCTTAGTGAGTTCATGAGAGGAGAAGCCCGAGGAGGGTAATTCGCAATACCCGCCAATCTTTGGAAGAGTCCGAGGTTCGCGGTTCTTACGATCTCTGTGTGAGTTCGTTAGTTATCTCTTTCTTTCTCATATATTCTTGTTCTTCTCCTTTCTCCCCTCTTCATCCACCAATTATTCCCCTAGCTCCACCTCCCCAACCGCCGGCCCTAATCCACCCGTGGCCGCCGACCACCCCCCACCCGTTCCCAAGTCTCTCCACCATCGGCCTTCTCCCCCTTTTCCCCCCACTTGTTCGAATTTTGAAAATTCAAAATTTATTGAGTTCAAAATTTTTCCAAATTTGTCAAAGCCAAATATGGAAAGTTTTCAAATTCAAATAAATTTGAAATTCGAATCAAAGTGGATCTCATAATCAAGCCTTCTAATGCAAACAAGCAAAATTTTGCGAAGGTTCGTTGCATTTTTGCTCCAATCCTCTCTTTCCTCTCCCTCTTGAGCAGCGGGCCCGCCTAGACTCCCTCTTCGCATTAATTGTACATTGTGACCTCCCCCCATTTGAATATTCACAGCAATGGCTCGATATTCGACCTCAGACTATGCACTTCCTCATAATTTCCGGTCTATACAGTGAGAGTCCTAAATATGAATGTTACAGTCGATCAAGGATTTTGTTTCTTGAAAACTCCTCCCTTTTCCTCTCTTTTGAACCGCCGGGCTCTCCTCTTAGCTTCCCATTTACTCCCTAATTATGCTTATTTCTCTTTTTTTGAATTTGAAATTCCAATTTCAAGTCAATTCTCCACCTTATTCAAAAACTGAAACTAATTTCAGATTTTGGGATTAATTTCTCTCTCTAGACCCGCCGGCCCCTCTTTGATGTGGGGGGGGGACCCCAATTTGAGCCCATTTAACTTCCCTTAATCTCTATTTTGGAATTGAAAGGGTTCAAATTCACAATTGGATTTTTCCATTCCTACTTCACTAAAACTGGGAAAAGTTTATTTCAGGTTTTTTTTAAACTCATTCCACCTAGTCCAAACCTTAACTCTTTCCACCCTGCCATGTGTGGGAATCATGGCTGTTCCAGGGGTTTTGAGAGGCCAAATAAGTCGTCTGTTCCAAAACCTTCAAATGATGCGTTCGGAAGTTTTTGTAGCTGCTGCCCAGGAAATTTTCGGCAAGACGAGCTGCTGTCCTGCTCTCCTAAAACCTCCGGGTTGCTGTCCTGAAGCCCTACAGCTGCTGTCCCAAGGGTCCAGCAGGTTCCTAATGCTGTGTCGCCATCCGGAAGGCCTTTATTTGTTGTCCAGATTTTCGGGAAAACTGTGGGGGTTGCTGTCCTCTTCATCCAGTGCCTTGGTGATCAAACGAGAAGCTTCGCAATCCCTCGTCTTTGAGTAAACTCTTTCCCCGAATCTTTTATCTTCAAAGTGCTCTCAATTGTGGTCAAGTAAATTCATGACGTTCATGTTAATGCTTCTCCGCTAGAACCTAGTAATAGAAAGAGTTGTGTGTGAGAGATCCTTCATAATACTAATCTTATTGTTAGCATTGGAATTTATTGTTGGAACGATCCATGTATGCAATGTTGGATTAAGTGGCTATCTTTTTTACTTAACTTTTATTCATGTGATTTAACCTAAACTAAGTGCCTTTTAATATTTATCTTATCGTTCAATTCCGCATAAGATCTTGCCTATTATTGCCTCTAAATCTAAGTGTGCAAACTTTCATTAAGAAAATCATCTTCGCATGGGTTAGTTTCACATCACAAACTAAACTGAAATTTTTGAAAGTCCCGTATTTGACTTACTTTTACACTAGGATTACTAGCAACCAAATGTTTAAGTAGGCCTTTTGATCCATTTAAATTTTAGAAAATCTCTATATTTTTATTTAAAGCTTTTTACAGGAATAAATAAAGCCAGCAATTTTGCTGTCAAAGTTTATTGCTAAAAGCCTATTTTCTCAAGAAGAAGAAATGCAAAGTTGATGCCGAAGAACTTAAGATCACCTACTATTGTTTCTAACCACCTTAAAGAAGTGAAGAACGAAGTCATGTACACAAGTTACTTTAATTTTACCAACCTTACTCGAAATTCCAACAAAAGATATCCATGGTGCGAGGTGTGGCGGAAAGACATGTTTGAATAGAGGACTAACACGGCTGTCGTCAATGCTTACAATTGTATTTTCCTCAAAAAAGGGAAAATTGAAAATGTACCTGTAGAAATAAAATGAGCGTTAGCATACTTAAATGGGGATGAAACTGCACGCGCTAAAAGTTGACGGTATTCATATTTAAGTTATTTGTAAGTATATTTTTACCTTAGTAATATTTGTCTTCTGCACTCTCAGCCCCCTCCAAAGTTATCTCAAACTTCTAGTTTTATGGAGTAAATATCACAAAAAATTTTTAAAAACGAGGGACTACTAAAATTTTGGGCTATAGTGGCATTTTCAATTTTTTTTTTTAGTTTTCATTAATAATAATATTTTTTAGAAATGTGCCAAAAAAATCTTTTATCAAAGCTTTTTATTTTTAAATTTATTACTAATGCTTTTGTGATAAACTTTTTATGACAAAAGACTAATGCTTATTCACACTTATACCAAAAAATCATGCCAATTTTTTAACATAAACAAGAAATTAATATTGATAAATCATGTAAAATTGTGGCTACAAAAAAAAATTTATAACTTAAAATGTTTTTATTTACAATTTCTAAGAAATGAGAGTAAAATTAATATTTAGTTAAAGAAAATGTGGCTATAATTTAGTATGAATATCCATTTCTCCATATTGCAACCATGTAAGGCATCGCAGCCAAGTTCTTCCTTATTTAATTGACCTATCCTTTTTGAGATAGACCTTTTGCATTAGATACATGAATATTTTTACATATTTTAGTGTTTAGTAGCATATTACAGCTGATAAGCCTGGATGAAGAATTGATTAAAATTAGATATATAAATTATTCTTTTATTTATTTCCTTTTGAAATTATTATTGATTTTCTAATTTGTTATTATAAAATTTATTTGTAGAGATTATTATTTTTTCCAACTAACTCAATATATTAGATCTCCGACTGGTCATTAGTCATGGGAAGCATGCTAATTATGCAAAACAAACTGATGAAATATTACATGACATTACTAAGAATCTCAAAACATAATATATTCCAAGAAAAAAAAAAAAAAACTTTGATTGGGAAGGAAAGAGGATCCTATACAATACCCTGTGCAATGGAGGATCACATCTGCAATTACTTCCGAACCATCTTCAAATACAACAGTGCCATCTTCATGAACACATTTTATCTGGTTGGAAACATGCAAGTGCATACCAGTTAGCGCCTTTTTCATCAAAATTCGCTCAGACAAAAGGAAATTAGGGGATGAGATATAACCATCAAATGCTGCCACATATTATCATAGTTATCTAATTTTCCGAGCTTAACTTCTGTAGTTCTTGAAGCCACGTGAACTTCTTTGGCAAACTTCGAAATTTCTTTAGAGATGTCAAAGGCACTTGCTCCCTTTCCGATAATGACAACAACCTGTGCCATAACCTTATTTTCGGTTACAATGAAGAAGATAGCAATCATCCAAATAACATGATAATAATTGATGCAAGTATTGGTGAATTGTGTACCAAATTATAGAAACTACTTAATTTTTCCCACTTAACTCCATTGGACCCATATTGACTTTTTTTCCTAACAGCATTCTCCTTGGAGCGCATCTAATATGCACAGAACTCAGAATTAAACAATGTGCAGGTAGACTCTTCATACTAATGCTTAAATTTATCTGTTTAAACTCGTCGTCGTCGTCATAGAAAAAGAGTAACTTGGTAGATAATCAGGAAGAGTAGTCATTACAAAGTACTAAAGTGGTATCACGTGATAGATCAAGTGTACCCGTGTGTGTATGACCAAAGAGAAAATGATTGTGAAGAAAGCCCTGCCACACTATGTAAATCTTACTAGTTCATTCCTGAAAAGTGTAAAATGTTTCAAAATTTTGTAATTGTTCCTTATAACTGTCTAATTTACCGCCCTACCTTTAGAATTTAGCCGCCAGTGTAACCAAAAAGATTTCTTTCTCCTTTCCTGTATAACTATTGCGTGCTAAAATTTTTTTGATAAATTGAAGGAGTGATGGAGCTCTATACACATCTTAGATTAAAGATTTCAGACAAGCACATGCAGTTAGAAAATAAATTGTTTGCGGAAAACTTTGGAGAGAAGAACCCCTGAGCCTGTTCAAATACATTCACTATTTGCGTACACGAGCACAAAGTTTGTTGACCTCCTCGCAGTCATTGGGGTGAAATATTGCTACAAAATGCATCAGAATGATGACAAATTACTTCAGGGGCATAAATAGCGATCAGCACAATTGTTGGCAACAAAAGCCATAAAGGCAAATGACAATGCAAAAAGGGTCGGTTGGCTATGTATGCCACGCACATCTTTTAATTGATCGGCGTTATATGGTTATCAAAACATATGACCGATATAATTTATAGATGCTATAGGGTTGGCTTGTTCGGCTAAACCTCCTTTTTTTCAAGGCAAATGACAACTTACTCCATAGAATATTTGGGAGGCGTAAGCACAAAAAACATCTCTTTGTAGCTCCCTTATAAAATAGTGGTGTGCCTTTAGTGACAACTATGAGCATCAATCTATTGTTGGTAATACCCCAAATAATTGTGTTAACTCAGAAAAATGCCTGAACACTAATTTTCTAAATTAGGATTCTATTCTTTAGCTGGTAGATTAATTTTAACTTAATCAGATTTATCCTAGTATTAACTTCAAGGTTTATTTAGACCTAAACTTCCTATGAGTGCAAAAAACATCTACTCATGATCGCAACAAAGGTGAGCTTTCGGCACAATTTTTTTAGGGATACCAACAGAACAAGTGAGATATCGCGGAGGTCATGATGACACAATGGTACGATGCAAATCATAATAACACTTAAGAGATCCAAATATTAAGAAGAGCATTCAAATCTTTATCCATTATATTCTTTACAGTTATTAAAGATGAGTACAGTATATTTTTCCCTCCCATAATCATAATGTGATCGATTTATGCTAAAAAAAAATTTGATCGAAATATGTTACCACTAGACTGACCTAGTTGGCTAACATGAACCAAAGTGAACTTTAGAGGTCTGCAATGATCCAATGGTAAAAGTCTAACAATAGCTACCATCGATAATTAATCTAATTCGTGATTTGAATTATATCATAGGTCTTGATAGCACAAGCATATCGATGGTGACAGGTTAAAGTTTTGATGGTCATATTGACATGAATGACTATAAGCAATGAAAAAGATTTGCAATATCCAATTTGATGTTGTTAGAAAACAAGAAAACAATGACAATATCCAACCAATTTTACATGGATATATTAGTCTCTTTGTAATAGTCAGTTGTTGCAAATAATTAGCAAAATGGAGGTCTCTAATGGTCACAATGATTTTGAGAAGATTCCAAGTTCTTATAAAAATCAATAAACAAGGCATTTTTGGCAACTAAGCCTTCATGCACGCTCCTCATTGGCGGCAATTCCCAAGGGAGGCTTACTCTTAAGAAACCCTAACTAATGGAGGGGAGGCAATCCCTCTGCCCCATCACGTAAGTTTAAGTCTATGCGAGAAAGGAGAGAGGGGATAGGCTCAAATCAAACTAGTCCACGTCCACGCTGGTCCAATTTGTACTCATTTCCATTAATTTAACTTGCTTCAGCACAATTAGACTATACATTATGTTATTCAAACAATTATGGATTCATTTCAACAAATTGATCTTGTGGCAGATTGTTTACATCATCCTATGATCCGTATGATCTTCAATTTCAACTTTTTTTTAGTTAAACTAATTTAGTCCTTTTGAGTTTTCTCGGGATTCAGGTGCTGCATCAGGATATGTGTTGATCAAATAATGATTTTGGAAATCCCAACATATTCAGTTTCTAAACTTCTTATTTTCTTACTATTATATACTACATACTTCCCTATGTGCAGCCCTCTCATCTTTTTTATGAAAATTCCCTCCTCTTTTCATCAAGCTCCCTGCAGCTACCCCACTACAAGACGCTTTTATTTGGTCCGGTGCAAGGACCTAGAGGAAGGTTCGGTTTTGCCTAAAAAAAGTGCAAATACCGAGTTTTTTGAAAAAATACCGAGTTTTTCAAAAAACTCGGTATTTGCACTTTTTGACCTATTTTTGCCTAAAACCGAACCTTCCTCTACATCCAGTGAAAGGACCAAATAATTGCTCCACTACAAGGTGACTTGAGGGGAAACTTCAAAAATAAATGAGGACTTAAAAAAACCATTCTATAGTTTTCTCCTTGCAGAAGAAATTATAAAATATTTTGGAAAACAACTCTGCTAGTTTTCATTTTTTTTCATAAATAAGGGCACTTAGACCTAATTGATATATCAAAATTATAATAAGTTCTTAACTATCTTTTTTCTTCTTCATGTGCATTGTCTCTGAAATTGTGCTGCCATCCAAATGTTAAGATCTCACTGGTGAGCTAGCACATGATCATTTGCAGACTCATCAAGAAGTAAACCGTGCAACATGATGTGGAATTGACAAAATGCCTTAGCTCGGATCCTACTGGAGCATGGCAAGAGAATTATTTTCATTTGATAAAACAAAAATATATAGACATATACATGGTCGATCTGCAAAAAACTCACATTATCCGTGCAAGTATGTCTATGTTATACCTAACCCAAGCACCCAGGAAGGCATTTAAATTAGGTTCTTTACAGCATAGACATTTAACAATGTTGGAAGCAACTTAGACATTTGTTCACAACAACAACATCAAGCCTTTATCCCACTACGTGGGGTCGGCAACATGAATCATTTTTCTCCATTGTGTCCTATTAAAGGTCAAATTCTTGTTTAAATCTAATAAAGAAAGGTCATTCCTAATATTTTCTAACCAAGTCTTTTTAGGTCTGCCTCTACCTTTCTTAACATAAGTCAAATCTAATACCTCTACTCTCCTAACCGGGTCATTGGAAGGCCGCCGTTTTATGTGACCAAACCATCTAAGGCGACTCTCTCTAATCTTATCTTCTACTGGAGTTACTCCAACCTTTTCACGTATATGCTCATTTCGTATCCTATCTCTAAGGGTAAAGCCACTCATCCACCTGAGCATCCTCATCTCTGTCACACTTAACTTAGTATTATGCTTCTCTTTTAATGGCCAACATTCAGCACCATAAAGCATTGCAGGCCTCACTACCATCTTATAGAATTTTCCCTTAATTTGAGGGGTACTTTTCTATCACACAACAAGCCCGATGCATTCCTCCACTTCAACCATCCAATTTGAATTCTGCTGATAATATCCCCATCTATTTCACCATCACTCTGAACAATAGATCCAAGATATCTAAAACGTGTACTCTTATTAATGACTTGATCGCCCAAAGTCACAATCCCCTAGTACTACTAAAATTACACTCCATATATTCCGTTTTAGATCTACTCAAGCGAAAACCTTTAGTCTCTAATGTCGACCTCCATAAATCAAGTTTACTTTCAACTCCCTCTCTAATCTTATCAACAAAAAGAATATCATCAGCAAAAAGCATACACCAAGGAATTAACTTAGACATTTGTTGCGATGGGTAAAACCCAACCATTCTCCATAGGAATGTATAATGTTAAAGCATCTATATTTTAACTTGATTCACTCTTAGCCTGATATGTCTATGTAGAAGAATGCATCCTTAAACATTTATGATGTGAGGCATTTTCACAACTCCATACCTGATCCAGAAATGGTTCAGGAATGCGATAATTATGACTATGTATCTGCTGTCCGCGCCATGTTTTGATGCCTGTACACATTTTCAAAGTTGATCATTAGTGACTGTGTTGAATATATGTAAAGATGAACAAACCTTATAACATAATAATAGGCTTAGAAAAAGACTACCATAGTTAGCTTTAACAAATTTGATTACCACTGGTTCTTTAACAAAAAAAGAGTGACAGAAGAGAATAATGCTGACATTGGAGTTCAGGGACGAGAGCTACATAAGCTAAAAGAAGATTACAACATACGGAAAAAGAATTTGAAGATCCTCTTTCACAGAAATACTCTTGCTTAGCTAAGAAAACAATTATATGTTATACAAAAACAATGACCAAAAGAAATGTGGGATTCCTAGGAGAGTAAATGTGTAATACATCGTTGATGAAGCTTTATTTGGATTGAAGGAAATGAAGGAAATGTGCTGCGGAGCACTCCATCAAAGGCCTCGATGGTTCCAGCAGATTCTCTTCAATGACTCTGTTAACAACTCCAGAGGCATCTTTTCAACGTCTTCTTCCTCAGCAACTTATGTGGTTTTCCTCTCCTAGTTGAGTCTTACAGTTATTTGACTTTTGCATTTCTTTCCTCCACGATCTCTAAAAGGACACCAATGGGATAGGTGATGGAGTTTCAATTTTTTGAGATGAACTATATTTGATCATCTTCAGTTGTCACTATTTGCAATGTAGACATCTTCAAGATTGAGATGGAATTTGCCCGTTCAGTTGAGCAACTTACGTTGACAAGCAAGGAAAGAGAGGGAAACTTTGAGCACCTCACATGCAAGAAAAGAGATGGAAACTTTGAGCACCTCACACGTAAACCATTTGTGTTATTATGATATGGTGTGGAGAAGCTTTCCAGTGATTTTACATACAAAATACCCCACACAAATGCTCCTAAGCATTTTTATTGGTTGGTAGGATGAGTTCCAAATACCCGTAAACACTTTTTTTAGTATAATGGGATAGAATTTAGGTCCTACTGCCCCTAGAACCGCGCATTATCAATGGGGATGAATGGATTACTCTTGCTAACCCTTGCAAAGATGATTTGGAAGCGCTATAAATATTTACTCAAAATTTCAAGACAAAAATATAAATGTTGAGACAAAGAAAGAGGGCAAAAATGAACATTAATGCAAGTTCACCAATGAAAGAATAAGAAAAAAAATTGCTATGAAAATCATACAAGCAAAAAGGTAGTAACATATTTATTTTTTGCACATGCAATCTAAAATGAGCAAAATAGTGCATCAAAAAGCGTGTGGCACGAGATAGATGCACTATGTGTACACATTTCGATTAAATTCATTTCATCAAAAAGGGGAGGAGACTATGAAGTGGAAACAACTTCAATATAGCACACATCTTTCAATAGACTTTTGGTGTGAACCAAGAAGCAACGTTTAAAATTGCGCAATAAAAGGCGCGCCTCAGCGCAATTTCGCCCATTTAAGCCTCAAAGCCTACGCAATAAGTTTAGTTTATGAGGCTTACGCCTCAAGTTTACTGAGGCGCGCCTCGCCTCATATATTTAAGGCGTCACCTTTTTTAAAATTAACCTTTTTTTTTGCAGTTCGGACCCCCAATTGCCGACGTGGCGTGTCTAGTGAAATGTCGACGTGGCATCAACATTTAAACCCTTGTAAAGGTCGAATGGCAGAGTCGACGTTTCGATTTTCAAGTTACGGTAAACTTTCGAACTTTCAAGCATTCACTCCGGAGCAATTTCAAGCATTCTTCACTCAGTTTCTTCTAAGATGTCGTCACCCCCAAAGAAAAAGGTAACTTAATGCTATGTTTTCTATTTCGTAATGCGTATTTTATGGTTATGCTATGCGTTGGTGTTCAAGGTTCTGAAGATCTTCTTATTTTATGCTTATTCTATGCGTATGCATTGCTTCTCGAAACTTTTTAAATGTTTGATACTGTGATGCCATCGTGTTTTCTCTGTATTCATGGTTTATGATAAATTTATGTTGAAATTTGAAACATAAAACCTAACTAAATTTTAAACACAGGGTAAATATGCGTAGGCTGTGCGTACGCAATGCGTCTTTTGTGCGTATTCTATGCGTATACGTTGCGTTCTTCGTGCTTATATTGTGCGTACTTTATGCGTGCGTATAATTTGCTGCCATGTTTCCTGCACTGTGCGTTCTTGTGCGTAATATATGCATATGTTATGCGTACACCATGCGTGACCGTTGCTTATATTCTGCGTATGTTGTGAGTTTTTTGTGCGTGTCTCATTTACTTATTTTAAAGACAGATTTTGGCAAAGTGTCTTATATGCCATTACAACCACTAGACCTTTAGTTCATGTTTTAAGGATGGTGGATGCTGAGAAGAAGCCTGCAATGAGTTTCATCTACAATGCTATGGATGAAGCCAAAGAGATGATTGCCTCTAACTTAGGAGAATCCAAAGTTCGCTATGAACGAGGCTTGAGGGAAGCTTTAGGGAAATTTGGAAATATTATGATGATAGGTGGGGACATACAGCTTACACGACACTTGCACCCCGCTGCTTACTACCTAAAAGCCCTCAGTTATCAATATGCAAGAACAAGTCTACAAACCCTGAAAATAAAGTTGGGACTTATATTCATTGCATGATCGTCTAATAATAGATGCCACGTTATGAGATTGATTATGATTGTTTGGATGTAGATTTGTTCTTCTCTGAGGAATTAGAAATATTGTTGTAGAAATGGTTGTTCTATTAGATTCGTCAGATTTCGACACTTAGGACTTTAAATGGTTAACACCTGGATAGGATGTAGCGGACGTGAATTGGAGGACGGTCATCCGATAACCAGCGTTAGTGTTGATTGCTCCGTGTTTGCAGTCTTTTCCCGGCTAGCTGACAGAGTTGCACTGCTCTTTAAAATTTTAGCCTGTTTTCGTAGCACTTTTGGCTCAATATTAGCTTTTCCGTTATCTCAGCTTTTCTTGGTGCTTTGTACTGTGTGTGGTTGTTCAAGGACTACTGGTAGCTTAGATTTATTCAATTTTAGTTATGATATAAGGGCTTGACTTTTCATGTGTTTGCTTGTTGTGGTTTTAGCCAGTGGTGTGCACGGCAGTCAAGTGCTGTTTGTAAAGATAAGAGGGCCTAAAGATGATTGCTAAGAACCTCATACAAGAGGGATCTTGGAGAACATGCAAAGGAGTTTGAAGATTCTGCAGTTGTCTTGAGAGGTTTTGTAGAGATTAGAGAGTTTGTACAGTTTGAGAATTGGTGAGGCGCTTTGGATGGTTTTGGAGGCGCTATGTATATGTAAATACGTGGATCAACATTCTTCCTCCCTTTTTTCATTTTATTCATTGCATTTTTATTATTATTTTTTGAAATTTCTCACTTGATTATTTTAAAATTTATCATAAATATATTTTAAATCTTGGAGCTCTAACAAAAAAAGAAAAATTAAATACTCTTGGATTTTAAAATGCTCAGTATTTGAAAATTTCCATATTTATTAGTCAGGAAGCATTTTCTTCAATTGGCTCCCATAATTTTTGTAAATCATTTGATTTTATATTTTTCCTTTAAAAGGTACATCATCATTATTTTGATTAATTTTAATAATTAATAAAGTTTTTTATTAATCAAATATTTTCAAATTTTAATTGCTTGCACAAATGTTCATGATTATATAATTTTTTTTCTAGAAATTGTTCGGCAGGCCTCCCAGTCACCCGCTCCGCCACCGAGGGGAAAATTGGGGACGGGCTCTGGCTGTAGATTCTTCCTACCCGGTGGTTTTGACCTAAGGTCGACGGCGTAGGGTCTCATTTGCAATCCATTTCATGCGCAGTGGCTAGAGATCGATGCGTGAGGTCTTGTCAAATTGTAAAATCATTGTTCCGGGCCCAGTGTCTAAATCGAATGGTAGCGGGTCTTCACCCTTTTAACCATCCACCGGTCGGTACGCTCAAAGGTACGACGGCCGGAGTGGGAGATGGTCCTTCGACGCTTGTTGAAAATTTTTTTCTTTTTTTATATAACATATTTTAGAAATGTATAGTCATTTTTAATATATTTATGAAACAGATATTATAATATATATATATTTATAAGTTATTATATATACATATATTTATACTAGAGAGGGAGAGAGGGATCGTTATGAAACAATTTCCATCTGCGGCCACCCTTGGGCTCTTTCCCTTTTCGACCTGACGATTTCAGCTCGGTGCTACAAGTGACTGCCAGATTGCTACGAAGCGAAGTCGG